TGACCCGTTTGAAACCGGGATACCCTCATAAAATTTTTATTTACAGGGCGACTTTGACCAACGAATTGTAGAGAGGCGAAAAGTCACATTATTGTGAATTTTTTTCGTCTGATGAAGCCAGCCATGGAATAAAACGTCCTCTTATTAAATGGCTGCCAAGATCACCCGACTTGACGCCACTCGACATTTTCCTTTGGGGTAACTTTAAGCAAAACGTTTTTAAGTCAAGACCTCAGTCGGTAGAAAAATTGCACGCTAGAATAACTGAAGCATGTGCAAATCTTTCAGATCAACTGAGAAAAGTAACCACGAATATAGGAAAAAGGTATGATAAGTGCCTTGAAATAAACGGCGGATTGGTGGAGGTAACAAGAATTTAATTAATAATTCTTCTCGTCTGAAACATCAATAATTTTGTTGAATATTGCTATGAATAAAAATAGTTATTGTCTTTTATTTTTGACGTTTTATTCCATGGCTTGCTTAGTGAAACGATTATTCTAGGGAAAATTGTATTTAAATGTAGTGATTTAATTACAATAATTAAAGACGATATATTAAGTCTCGATTAATATTTGGTTAAATAAACGGATAGTTAAATTGTTATCTATAATTAAGTATTTGTAACGTACATTATAGGTTATGGTAATCTATTCATCCGATCAATTCACCAATTCCTTTAATCGAGACCTAAAATACTGTCTCTAAAACAGATCTGTATTGAAACCACTGTGGCAGCTTAGTAATTTATGACTTTAATACAATGATATTTAAATTAAAATTTAAAGAGAATATAAGCCAAATCTGAGTAAAAAATTACTCAAGAATAGTTCAATTTGAATCATATTAGAGAAAAGTCAACTCTAAATTGGTTTTATATACTCAGAATAGAGTAAAAAGTCACTCAATTGATAGCAACTCGGATTTGAGTAAAACTCGCTCATTGCTGATGCAATAGTTTCACTAGGGTTGTGAAAATTTCACTCAATTTCAAATTACGTATTATCCGACTGTTCTAACGCAAATTTAAAAAATTTTGGGAAGCGTTCCCGGTTTTCCGCGATTTATCGATTTCGGCGCCCCCCGGGCACCCTCCGAGGTACGCCGCTGCCGGCAAACGCACCCTTTTCACATTCTCCAACCGACTAACCAACGCGGGCGAATCCCTACAAGCATTTATTTTATTATAGCCGGCGTAGGAGTTTCGCAACCATAGTCCGTCCGTACGGTGCGGCAAGCAGCAGGCGAGGACGAAACCGTCGGCTCTCTGATGCCCCTTCCCCGGCTCGCTATAGTTCATTTGCCCGAGGGTCCGTGACCGCCCGCCGCCCGACCTACTTCTCGCCGATGCAAGGCGCCTTCGTCGAGTCTCCCGCGTCGAGCTCCGTCACATCAGCGCATAGTGCACGTGTTTTCTACATGAAGTCGGCGCGTACTTTCGCTGTTGTGGTCTCTGAAACACTATTTTTCGTAAATGTGTAAGTGCGCTCACCTTGAACTAAAACCAACGGATAGTGACGGAATTCTGCTCGCCGCGACAACTAAAGTGCGTTTCGCAGAAATAAAACTTTCGCAGGACGTCTCATGGAACTGTTCTGTTTTTAACAGAAGAAAAAGTCACGTAAATATAATGAAGCCATTGTAGTAATACTCCTGGGCATTAATTTTCAACCTATGCTTTATTTCACCGTCATGTATCACTTGGTTTCTAATGTATTATATCATTGTCTGGCCTTTGATCGTATCTCATAAGATCATTGAAATTGATGAAACTGAAGACATTTTATTAATGACCACATTGATGGTAATAATATTAAATTTGCGTTATTGTATTAATCACCAGATAAATAAAGACATTAATGCAACTAACCTCAAGTTTTGATCACTATAATCACTACCATGCATTGTACAGATGATTGCATACATTCGCAAAATTACCTGCAATATCAACATAATCCCGTGCAAATTGTGGACACTTTTTCTAAATTCTTTCCTAGCGTTTTTCCATCGAAAATGCTCAGTATCCAAATGTATCATTAAATTATTATCAATCCTGCCCATTAACATACAACAGCTTACGGAATCTGATGTCCTTCTAGCAATCTACAAACTAAAAAACAAAATGACGTGTGGTGAAGATCAGAATCCTAGTTTTCTGGTAAAGGATTGCTCGAGAGTTTTATGCACTTCGCTTCTTACGTTATTCGTTATTTCGTTATTTATTAACTGGTGAATTTCCTGATAGGTGGAAACGTACATTACGTACAAGAGTGTGTCCAATTGTAAAAAGCGATAACCTTGCGAATGTAAGAAATTATCGTCCTATTGCCATATTGTCAATACAAAGGTAACATTGGTCTTTGAGATGTCTCTCTATAAACAAATATTAAATAACTTCAAGTAGTATATATCAACAAATCAGCATGTTTTTTTTTCCGAATCGTTCAACTTTATCTAATCTGGCCGAGTTTACCTAGTATACGGCAAACTATGTTGATGACAAAGGGCAAGTTGATATCATTTACACATACTTCTCAAAGGCCTTTGACAAGGTTAATTGCTACGTAAGTTGGAAAGGTATGGTTTCAGTGATAGCTTACTCCGCCTTTTCAATTCTTACCTATATCATTGACAGATGTATGTCTCTTATAATGGTTTCAAGTCGAATACTTTTAATGCGGCATCGGGAGTATCTCAAGGTTCTAATTTGGGGCCACTCCTTTTTATATTATTTGTAAATGACTTATCTCTAGCATTAAAGTCAAATCATCTTATGTTTGCCGACGACTTGAAATTGTTCTTGAATATACATACCATCTGCGGCTGATTGTTATTGCAAGACCTTGTGGATCATGTTTATAAAAAATGCAAAGTGCAAAAATCAGCCTCTCATATTTGATTATAGGTTTTGGTACATTCCAAATAAATCGTTGATTCAATAGATTCATCCTTTACTTTGGTCAATACATAAGGCACTGGGCTAAATAGATACTGGGAAGTTTGATATAGTGAACTGTACTGTTAACGATACGTAGTAGATCATCAAAGCAAGGCATGTTTTCATTGTGTAAAATTTTTACATTATTATAGTGCGCAACAATCACTATTAACAAATTAACTGATTGTTCCATCACTCCATCATCATGTCATTATATCCTCAGTACACTGTTTTAATAAAAAATGCATCATATTAATTATATTACATAAAATTCTACCTCTGGTTATTAATGTCAGGCTCAATACTTTGTTATGTGAATTTGAACCCAGTTGTAGTATATAGGTGGTAGTTTCACCAACAGTAAGCAGCAAAGGTGCTTGAAAGGATTCTTGTTAATTAATGTATATTCCATGCCTATCTAATCTACCTAATAGTACGATACTGATATGGCTGTTTATGTAAATAAAAGTTGTGACACCACTACAACGCAAACTGTTCAACCTTTCCACAATAAATGGGTAAATTTCTAGTAAATGGTAGAAACAATTAAGCACAACCTAGTTTGAAAACTTTACGTACGAATTAAATCATCATTCTATATAGTCAATTTTTTAAGAAACGCCTTTATTACTTACTGGGTAATTCGTTGTTTAATAGGAATATTTGGGAACGGTGAAGAGTTTACTTAAATTCTGTATATTTTGTGAGTCAGCAGACTTTCCTCGAAAGATTCGATATATTTGTTATCGATAACAGCTTCATATCTAAATTCCAACAACTGGTTTATGAACAAAATAAAAATTTGCTCCATTACATCTGCGTAGGCCACTTAGAAAATGAAATATAAGTTCAGTAGTTTAAACATCACTACATATTGGGATAAAATCATTTATAAAGTCATCAAATAATTCTCAGAATTCAGTACAATGTTCTCAGAGATGGAGAGAGATACTTTTTAGAACCATACTTCTAATTGGGAATTAGAGCCACCAGAGTACATTCCCGTATGATTTCAATGCACTCTAGATTAATTATACAAGAACTCTGTGCTGTCGTGTCATCATATACCTTCTTACAATGTTAGTTTAACTCTTTAATAAATTTAACTCCCAATTTGTTCTAATTTATATAAATATTTCCATACCCATCATAAGTTTAGTTAAATAATTCTTTCTACCTTTTTTTCCTTCATCATATTTACTACACCTCATAAAATATCACATTAGGTACCTACCAACCATAGCCAGTTCTTTCAGTCTTTGTCAAACTCTATATAACGCCACAATAACGAATAATATTAATGCAATACATTTGTGTTTATACTGAAAGACTTTGGTATTTGTTTAAATACACCTTTCAGCATTAATTTGACAATTATTTTTTCTTCTGTCACTAATACAGGCTCTGTACTCTACAAAAGTTACAATAAAACTAAAATCAATTGGTTTCTATAGGCGTGACTACGTACCTACGATTTGTTTTTGTCGTTTTGTAAAGAGCTCCAATTTACCCATATTTCAATTGGTTTAGTTTTTAATTTTTCAAGTAAACTTTATGAACCTAAACAAAACGTGTAAGCAAAGTATTATTGTAAAACAAATGAGCGCTATTATTAAGTTGTTTGTTTACTGGCCTTGACTAAATGTATATTTTACGTTCTCAAACAGTTTTTGGGTCACAGATTGCTTCTTTCAAGTTCAGGAGTCAAAATATTGTTGAATTTAGAAAAAAAATCAATTAACGTTGCCATCTTAATATTATGCATTCAAGTTTCCCTTTAAATATTGCAGGAACTGTTCGTGTTTTGTGTGGATTCACAAGTAAATTTTCCATACTTTACATCAAAACATAATATTGATGTTCAAACGGAAAATACTCAAGGATAAATTATTATTGTTTACTCTAATGTGAAATTGTAACATGCATATTTTTTTTATTCATGAATTTGACCCAGTGTTTCTTCTACTATCAAGATTAAAATGCTTAAAATAATAGTTCAACAAATTGATTTTGTCTTATGTACAGAAATTTATTATTACTAAAAATAATTTTTTTCTTGCAGCTTGAATAAGATGCAGATAATGGAGGATGTGAGAGAAGGCTGCAATGTCCAACCTTCTTCCCCGGGTCATGCAGAACAGCGCGCTGATGATGATTCCAAGAAGACAGAAACCCATTCCGAAAACGGATTTGAGGAACAGAATTCGAATACCAACCATGAAGAGAACAATGAGGACCAAAAGGAAGACACCAAGACCTCCGAAAATGAGGTAGACGCAGCAGAAAGCAATAAAACTGAATTCTCGGAAGCCAACAACGAGGAAAACTACAGCAATGACAGTGCCCCATCTGTCGAAGGCAACAAACGTAAATGCGACACTGAAGACTTTCCCATTAAAAGACTAAGAACGGAAATCCACCAGAATTTCGTGTCTCGTGATAAAATCCTGAACGAATTCATCGAAATGGCTGAATGCAACAATTTAGAGCAAATACATACTTTCAGTGAACAGTTATTAGCGGAAATAAAGACACTGAACGAACTAGCGAAGGAAAAAGAGAGAGAGTGGAACAACATCCTCCACCTGAAGAAGATCAAAGAGGAACTGTTGCTTCGAATGCAAAGAAAAAGACAAATCATGCTGATAAATGAAAAGTCTGATTATTCAGACCTACTTTCTGAATCTCAAAGTGACAATGCGGACGAACGTAGCAAGAGCGGATCGCCCCACAGTATCTTGAAATCCAATTTAACGAATCCCCAGAAATCCGCGTTGCGCATCCCCAGCGTCAGCTTGAACGGGGACAAGTCGAAGCATAGGACCATCTTGCCGAAGTTACCCCAAAATACCCTGGAATTAAACGGATCCTTGGACCTGAGGCAAGCGAAACAGCGACCTATCCTGGACGTCCAATCCATTATAGCCGATTACCGGCAAAGACACCCCGAGGCAGTGCCTCGAAGGGGACGGAGGATTAGAAACTCTCAAACTGACGGCTCGAATAAGTCTCCTAGTAACGTTCTCAATTTCGCCTCCATGACGCTCGGTTCGGGGTCTCAGGTGAGGCAGAATCTCCAGGGAGTTGACATGAATAGCGAGTTCGGGATGCTTTTAAGCTCCATGAATGGGGTAAGTAGTTACTAGATATTCTTTGTTTTAGACCCTTTTAAAATATGCTAATTTTTTAAATTTTTTGCACTATACAGGGTGTTTGAAAAAGTTGATACAAAATTTAAGGAGGTGAAAGATAGAGCCAAAAATAGTAAAAAAAAGTTGCTATAAAGATTGGTCCTCCGGAGCACCGTTACTGAAATATGACCCTCCAAAGGAGTCTTATCATTTGGATATTTTTTAAAATAACTTTCTTTCTGATTAAGATAATAGAATGAAAATTGTAGGTCATGATCATACCATAAGGGTCTTTAACTATCATAAGTTTCATCAAATTTGGTTAGTAGTTTTCTAACTACCCTTAACAAAAATTTATCGAATTTTTTTTATTCCTTTCAATTATCAAGCAAATATTATAGTTTAATTAATTTGACTTTTTTGAAGAAAAAATGTCCCTACTTTTTTTTCGAATTCTGCGTAGTTTGTGGTCAGATATAATTATTTTTTAAAGAATGTATGGCTCAGGACAGTAACTTTTTTAACATTTTCGAACTAATGATTGTCACTATAGCGTGCTATCGTTTAAATTCTTACATTTCTTTATCTTCTTAGTTGTGATCTTTGTGCTTGACTTTGCATTTCACTCGATTTTTTTACAACCACGAACCATCATGAGCTCTTCTTACACTCGCAGTAGGATTACGCTAAAAAAATCCTAAAATTACTTCATCTAAATCATGCCTAAATTCATGATATCTTGGATAGGGTTCCTGATTCCATCGTTCTTGCATGATTTTTTTCAAACAATTTTGCAGAAGGTTGTCTCCTATCAGGTAAACGTTGCCGATACTCTTTTTCAGCCGCTATACTATTTCCATTACAGAAACCATAAATAAAATGCATATCGGCATATTTACGGTTAGTCAAAGCATGATGGGTTCATGGTTGTAAAAAAATCGATTGAAATTCAAAGTCAAGCACAAAAATCACAACTAAGACACGTAAGAATTTAAATGATAGCACGCGAAAGTGACAATCATTAGTATCATTACAACGAAACTGTCACCATGAAAGATACCTACTATGTGAAAATGAAAATGAAAATGAAAAAAGTTACTATTCTGAGCCATACATTTTTTAAAAAGTATTATTTTTGACTAAACTACGCAGAATTCGAAAAGTATAGGAAGTAATTTATTAAAAATTAATATTATTTGCTTCATAATTCAAAGGAATAAAAAAAAACGAAAAATTTCTGTGAAGGGTAGTTAGAAAATTATACTTATTTATAACCGATTTTAATAAAACTTGTGATAGTTAAAGACCCTTATGGTATGATTATTACCTACAATTTTCATTCCATTATTTTAATCAGAAAGAAAGTTATTTTAAAAAATATCCAATTGATAAGACTCTTTTATATCTCAATTACGGTTCTCCGGCGGACCAATGTTTATAGGGACTTTTTTCCTAGTTTTGGCTTTACTTTCACCTCCTTAAATTTTGTACCAACTTTTCCAAACACCCTGTATATTGTACATGAAAATGTATACAATTTTCTGTTCGTTTTTTGCGATTTTGTTTAATTGTCTGTTTGCGATGGTATATGGATTTTGTACGAAACAGTACATTTAACGATTTTTGATTATTTTGAAACTATTTAGAGCTTATATTAATTTATATTTCGAATGCAACCAAATATAGGTAACTTTTTGGCATATATACAATTTGTCGTCTGAAGGGTACAGAATAATGTCATGTTATTAGATTTCAGATTAAAAAAAATTGCTGATGCTACTTTTTAAATATTGGTCCCTTGAAAGGTCATAGCAAGCTTAAAAGTTGCAGAGTTAAGGAAGTATCCGAATATACGCACATCCTTAGCATTAATTTAATACCTATATAACTTTATTTGTTTTTTTACTTATTATTGAATATGATGAATAAAACATTTTTTTTACTCTGTTCAATAAGATCTAATATTTCATATTTCTACTCCAAGACGTATATAACCATCTAAATATTAAATTTCAATAAACAACCTCAAATACGTGATTCATAAATAAACTGACCATAGACTTATTACCTTTACTAATAAATCTATGGAACTGACACAAGGCAGATACGTGTAAGGGACCCTAAAATATGTTTCTTGTTAAACGTTTTGATGGATTTAAACGACATTCAAATGGATTTTTCATTTATGGAGACTTTTAGAAAAAATCGAAAACAGTATCAAATGTTTCATAGAGAGGAATGCTACAGGGGGTTGACATATAAGAGTATTATTATAATATCTAAATTTTTAATTGCAGTTTTAATTGCAAATCATTAAATTTCGATAACTATCAATCTATATTCCAGGAAACATTATTGAATACTTGCAAATATCTTCATATAATCTTTAAAAACACAATTGCACCAAATACTCAATCAGTAGACTTAAATTCAGTTTTTATCCCGTAGTGGAATCTACTGGAGGAAAATGTCTCAACTCTTTGTCGTCTCCTAATCTTTAAATATGAAACTGTACCTCGCCTCCCAGTTTATCAATCGTCTGTCTCTTCTACACATTTTTTTTAATCACGAGGTTCATCAGAACTTATTAACATATTTGTATATTTACATTATTAATATTGACTAGTCAAATCCGTATTTTTCAGAGCCATGTTAAAAATAACTAATAAAAAACATAAACGACGCTGTAGAATATAAATTAGAACAAAACTTAGTTGTTATTTGCATATTGCCTACATGAAATAATAATAATAATATAATTTTATTAGATTTTTACTAAATGTCCAAAACGAGTAAAATAAACTGTTTGATTATGCACTAGATCTGAAGTAAAATATACGAGAAATGACACTCTAAACAAGAAATTAGTTCAAGCGGTTTATTTTAAGTACTTACTGAATATTGTTATTATTAGAAATGCTTACTTTGAAATAATAACTGTTAGTTAGCAGCAAACTTGTTGCAATTAATTATTTATACATAATTAAGAATTAAGAGAATTTGATTCTCTATCCAATATGAAGAAAAAATTAGCTGATATTTTTCAATTTTCATCACTTTAAACTTATAATATCTACTTTAAATTCTTACGTTAAATCTTATACAATAAGCATCTGCGTGTCGATTAGTTTCAGAGAAATTCTTCGAGTAGGTATATTATTTTTATTAACTGACCCCATTTTCATTCTGGTAATTGATTTGTTGGTTGGTTGATATAGTCTGAAATTAAAAATTATTATTAAACATGATACTTATATTTAAATAAGGATAGGAGTATTTTTCATGTTTATGGATTTGATGAAGAACTGTCAGAATTACGTTGACGAAAAAAAGTGCTTCAGATTTTTTTCAGTATTTGATGCTCTTATTATTTCAATAACTTTTATATTATATTCCAAAAAGAAAAATTGTATTTCAATCCAGGGTTAGGGATTAAATTTAGGCATATTTGATTTAATTTGGGCTGAACACCTTCCAAATAGACGTCGGAATTGCAAAATTGATTTACGATATTGTTTACGACGAGCTGAAAGAACTAGGTAGATGCAGATATAGGTACCTATAGTTGTTAAGAAAAAATTAACGACTTAATGATAGTTAACGTTTAAAAATACCTCATTTATTTTTAGTTCAAATGAAATATAATAAGAAGTAGTTTATAGAAACTTTGAGTAAAGCCATAATTATAATAAAAATTAAAACTTCCGGTCATTATATTTTGCCTACGAGTTTCTCTAGCACCTAGAATATAAAAGGTTCTTACCTATACCTAAAGTTTATTTAATCACATCAAATTAATTGATGCTAAATCTTGTTTAATTTATCGCTGAAAATTGTTTATTAGGTAAAGATAATAAAATAAACAAGTGAAAGTATACATGTCGCCCATCCACTAGATATGGACAAATGTTAAAGATGTAGCTAATACAACAGAAATATACTTAAATGTTGGCAGCTGAATGCTGTTAGTATATTGTCTAGTATAAATTGACAACTTTTAGGAACAAAATACTGTATCAATTTTCGTACATCACTTATTATTTTACATTTTTGATAGGTGTAATTCGTAGCTAAGCAATTGCGGTTATCTGTTAGGAATATCTCTTCTACTTGGTAGTCAAGATGCATTCAGCAAAAATCAAGTAATGTGTTCAGTAAAATAATTGAATTATAGGTATCTGAAGTTTTATATTGAAGGTTTCATGGAAAAAGGGGCATTATAACCAGAATACCAAATTTTGAAATATCTGTGTTAAAACATTTTTATAACCATAAAAAACTACATATTTCAGATCAACGTCTCTGTTGAAGGAGTTTTTTTGTTTAAGTAAGTCAATATCATGTTAATAAACATGTTTTCCTTCACTGAAAATTTAGAAACATCCTGAAAAAATTTTTTAGTTTTCTTCTTAAATTGAGGAGTCAATACACGCCCTTTACCCATGAAACCCCCGATATTTATATCAACAAATATAGATATCCTTTTGTTTGTGCTTTTCAGAATAGATCAGATTATTCCAAGGCATCAAACTCTGACTCATCAACAATGCAGGATACCACATCATTTAGAGACATGTTGCTGCAATTTGCAAAACTGTCGCAGAGTGAAAGGACTGAACTGATGCAAAATTTCAAACCACCACCTCCTTACCCAGAAGTAACCGTTCATCCTGTTCCCACGACAACGGCAGCTCCCACAAATTCGCTTCTTCATGGAATTTTAACGAAGGTTTGTAAAAAATGAGTCGCCTGTTATTCCAAGTAACGTTAATGGTTATTGCTGCTTACAAAAAAGATGATATTGATATGATATTACATCTTTTAGTAGATAGATTTATTACACGGCGTATTTCAGGGTTAATTGGTCATATTGAAGGTTTTTATTTAAGTAGTGAAAATATAAAGGAAAAATCAAAGTGAAGGAATGTTGAGAAACACATTTTTTTAAATACAGATAGAGATATTTAAAAATAATGTCATATCCCTACTAATTGTCCGTATATTTCCAAGAAAAAATATCTCTTCCATTTTATTCATTAAACGATTTAGGGTTATGTATTTTTTTATTTGTATTAGCATTTTTAAGCATTTCAATATACCTATACCAATCTAAAATAATAAATTTAGACCTGCTTTTATTCCAAGAAAAGTCCTACATTTTTTTCTAGAAGTACTATTTTTGAATACATAGTGAGTCCAAAAAGAAAATCATTGACATAGAAATTTTGCAAGTTGTTAGCTGCAGCAACTCTACTAATAATTTTTCAACCCTTTCTTGATTACATTGTACTTTTAAAAAGAATTGAAGATGCTTGGAGCTTGTTGCAATTGCGACGAATTTCCGATCGACGCGTTTACATACTCAACTGTTTTTTGCCTTAATAAAATGAATCATTAGCACCAGTTTCTTTACTCTATATAAGAATGCCTACCGTCTCTATTTTCGTGGGATGTCCCGATTTTTAGAAATCCCCGCTAATCGCAAGATTATCGAATTATCGGCAACATGTTTGTTTCTGCAGTAGATTTCTGATACTTTGGAAACTGTTTTTATTACGCAAGCGCGGTGGTGCTAACGGTTTTGGATTTTGCTCTGCAACAACAAACTGTTGTTTAATTTGAGTTTGACATTTCCAATCCGAGGTCCAAATATCTCAATTGGCTCTGGTTTTCGAGATATCCTAACCTAAAAGTACCAAAATCGCGATTTTTTTTACTGAAATTAAAATTTAAATGTGACCAACTATTTAAAACACCTTGTATAAGCATATCTTCATTTTTAAGAAATGAAAGTTGCAAATGAATAAATGAATATGTTTGATTTTAGAGCCCTTCTAAACAGAATACCAAGACCTCATTTAGCCCTACATTAGCTCGTCTGTTGACAGCTCCAGAAAGGGCAGTCAGTAGCAATCCGACAACATCAACACCGACCATGTCAAGTAGTACCACGATTCATCCATCTAATATGTCAATTTCAGAGATACTCTCTACAAGTAAGGTAAGTGGGGTAAATAAAACTTACTGGTTTTCAAAAAACTTACAGTCCTTTTAATTAACATGTAATTATTTAACTATTAGTTTCGGACTTTACATTATATGCACCATATTCAGGCCACTTTTAATAAATATAAATAATGGATTATTCGAATATTAATTTACAAACAAGAAAAACACGTAACAAATACACTGAACAATGCACTAAACAAGACAAATAAATATTGAATTAACTTTAGAAAAAAATTAAAGTTTGCATTTATTTTCAGGCAAGAAATGAAATTACTATCACCCCAGTAGGAACACAATATGAAACAACCCCATCTAAAGCAAGATCAACGGTTAGTAACATAATGCTTTTATTAAAAAAAAAATGATGGACATTGATTAAGATGAGCGTATCTGCAGTACAAAATCCACGAATATTAATGTAACCAAAAAAGTTTAATCTTAGAACCTTAGTAAAATTTAAAAAACCATGATACACTATTAGAAACTAGAATATTCAACTTGGGAGTTGCATTTTTTATATTGCCAAAGAAATTGTCACCATATAATTTAGCACACATTTAAAATATAAAACAAGGAAAATTAATATAATCCTCATACCTTCAATCATTCACTTATGCATCAATCAAACAATCAACTGTTTTATATAAATAGAAAAATGTCATGACAAAAGAGTTGCCATTACCCATTAAACCATAAATAGTTGACCTGTTTCTAATTGTTTCTCTTTGCAGAAAACACTTTCATGAGAATAGCTCTTTTATTTAGGATCTATAAAAAGTTGTGCCACTATAGTTCTGACACTATACAATCATAGTCCCTTTACAGTCTCTAAGAAAATTTAAAACGCATTGAATTTTCAGGAGGAAGAGGAAGCAGAGGATAGCGCAGATCGCCTGGTGATTGATGAAAGTAATGAAGCTGCAGAGGCCAGAAGAGCGGCAGATAATAATTCAGACGGTGGTGATGAAGTACCTCCTTGTCAAGGATGCAACCAGAAACCTGCTCAGTTTGTCTGTGCGGGATGTGGAAACCAGTGGTACTGCAGTCGAGACTGTCAGGTAATATCCCCTTTCATGATTGTTTAATTATCACTGAATTATCGCCTCACGGCGAGTGGTGTGGTGATTTGCTTTTCAATAACCTTCCCTTTAAATATGAGATTTTGCCACCATTGCCCGGCCCGTTTCCCGTTTTTGCTTGCGTTTTACTTAAGGCCTTCGTTTTTTTGGGTTTCCCCCGGTTTTTGAAGTTTCTTAAAAAAGGTTTAAAAAATTTAGTTTTCACGATGAGGAAATTTGAAGAAATTAACGTTTTTCTAAAGGTCAAAGGTAGCCTCTGTATAAATATGACCTTCACTCAAACTTACACCCAATATAAGAAGAATCAATATTAACCAAATAATAAAAAAATAATAGTTAAAATTATAAATAAAATTAAAATTAGGGGTTTCTATTTAAAAATTTCTAGTTTTCCACATTTTCTTTTAACTTCACATTCGATAATTTTTTTAGCACCCAGTATAAAAACTGGAAAATTTTCTTGTCAAATTCGATAAATTTGGTCTTCCTCTACAAAATGTCCACAAAAAAATAAACCTATGTTTCCGGGAAAACTAAATTTTGTTGACAGTCTGCATCTGTCAATTTTTGCTTAAAAATCAAAATATCTCGGAAACGGTCAATCTTAAGTATGGAGTGTGCTATACTTAGTTTTCAACTTAAAAATAGATGCTCTTTCCCAAAAAGCAATAACATACAGGGTGTTCGTTTTAAAATGAGAAAGTTATTATACCTTGAAAATATTTTAGCTTGATAGGCCCCACGGTCCGTATCACACCATTACAGTTTCAAAAAAATCCGTCAAGCGGTTTCCCAGATATCCATCGATGGTGTTCGTGGTGGGACATCCTGTATAGTATGTTTCTTTATCGATAATAACACCCATTTTTTTACAGGTCGCCGCCTGGGATGAACATTCTGAAGTGTGCTCGGGTTAACAATTCTTCTAACAAAAATTGTTTTCATAGAAACAATTTTCAAGTAAATAGTGATCAAAAATATAAAGTACCTACATAACAATAAATGTCTATTCTAAATGAGATACACCAAACAGAATCAGGTACCTGCATTAAAAGTTTGGTTGATGCATCAAGTACATTAAAATTAACATTCCTCCTCCGAAACAAAGCTCCCATGCTTCTCAAATTACAGTAGTCAATAATTTTGCAATTTTCCATTGCTGTATTTATTGCATCAATATTGCTTTTAAATAATCAATATTAAGCTACTGATTTTTAGTACCAAAGAAAGCCAAAGCTAGATTAGATTATAACAATTTTTTCTAATTTTAAACGTAAAAAGAGTTGAACAAAAAATTGGCATATATTAAAATTTGAATGTTTAGTGATAATGTACCTAAATATTTTTTATTTTTGTTAGTTATAAATGAGAATGTGTTAGTAAAAGGGCCAATGTAAATATATTATGCCTATATATTATAACTATATTTATGAGGCATATTTTTTATATATTAATCTAGCTAGATGTTTGAGTTTATGGATTATTATACCTGAAGCTATAGATTTGAAAGTTTTTGAGTGAATGATATGATTACAAGCAAAAAATATCAGTCAGTTTCAGAATATAATATAATAAAACTTGCCTTCTATTAGTTACATACATATTTTATATTTCACTGTGTTTGTATGTGTGTAGTCTCTAATTTATTTAGCAATAAGGTTTCCCTATTTATAAAAATGTAATTATGCTAGTCATTTTTTATTACCATTACCACATATTACATAATTTGTAACACTTTTTTTAAATGTTGTGTAAGTGCCATTGACCATTTTGAGGGTTATGTGTAAATATATTTTTTTTGTAAGCTGCAATGGATTATTTAAAAAATATGTAAGATACAATTCTGTGATACCCAGTTAAGGATCAACGATACTTAAATAAAACCAGTATCTTTCATAATGAGGAATTTTTTGTTTGTATTTTTCTTAAATACCTCCCTGTCTACTCAACCCAGTTGAATGTAGAATACAAAAATTAATTGGTACGGGTGAAGGCAAATTAATAACAGAAGCTAAAAGATGTTCGAAAAAATACTGTATAGGCAAAATGATTTAAAAAAAACAGTGCAAGCGATATTGAAAGAAATGTCTGTCAAATGTCAGAAATTGTGAAATATTTTCCACATAATTTATTAAAAACTTGAAAACGGCAATTTAAATATATAGGGTGTTTTTAAATGAAGTAGCAAAAATGGTACCGGTGAATGTAAAGCCAAAAATAAGAGGATTGCAGCAAAAATACCTTATATGAAAGTTGTACCCCTGAGGCGATATACCCTCTTAAAGGAGGGGATTGAAATTCACATTTTAATTTTTTTCTTTAACATGAGGAATGCTAGAGACATGAAACTTAGTATGAGCATCCCACTAATAAAGAGACAACTTTTCAATATTTACTCGATCATTGGAGTATTTTATAAAGCAGTGAAACAGTCAACTTCATTGCATTATTTTCTTAGAAATTTTTTATATGAAGCAAATTATTTATTTAAAAATTTTTTTTGGGAAGACTGATTTATTGCGCAACTTTTTTACCTTTTATAATCTTCGATAAAACCGATAGTTTTCTAGTAAGAAAATCAGATGCGTTATCGTTCACTAAAGGGGTGATTGCGAAAATTTCGCGAAGCCTTCTTTCTACCGAGGCCAATGTTTGTCTATGAGGAATCGGTCAGTTTGGATATCTTCGGTGGTATAATCTTACTGCAGCATTACTATTTTTTCTGGACTCGAAAAAGACTTGGAGCATGTCGACAAACTCGTCATTGGTATAAATATTATTTGCCATAATTATTCTGATAATAAATTAATCAATTGGTACTAATTATTGGTTGACAGAAAGTGTCAATTTATTAATATGATAAATAACAATTTATTTGTTATGACATCCGCCTACTTTATTTTTACAAATTTTCGCCATTAGTGAACGATGACGCATCTAATTTTTTTAATAGAAAACTATCGGTTTTATCGAAAAATTACAAGAGATAAAAAAGTTGCGCAATAAATCAGTCTTCCTAATATATATTTTTAAATAAATAATTTGTTTCATATAAAAAATTTCTAATAAAATATTGCAATGGGGTTGACTGTTTCACTCCTTTATAAAATACGCCAATGATCGAACAAATATCGAAAAGTTGTCTCTTTATTAGTAGGATGCTTATATCAAGTTTCGTGTCTCTAGCATTCCTCATGTTAAAGAAAAAAATTAAAATGTGAATTTCAATCCTCTCCTTTAAGAGGGTATATCGCCTCAGGGGTACAACTTTCATATAAGGTATTTTTACTTCAATCCTCTTTTATTTTTGGCTCTACATTCACTGGTACCATTTTTGCTACTTCATTTAAAAACACCCTGTATATTTAATAAATAAAAATTATTCCTTGGTTCAATCCGCCATTTGCACTTCGTGATGTCATTCATTCATTTGTGTTCATCCAACATGAGGCAGATGTTCTAAAAGCTACATGAAGTACAAGTAGTTATACAGTGTCTTCCGTAGTATTGTGTTATTTCTCAAAAACTAGATTCGACCGCACAAAAATAACTTCAGATTCGCGTTTAGCACCCTCGAAAATAAGGGTAGAGTAGGAATATTTTTGCGACGCTTTGGGCAGGTTATTCTATAGTAAAATAATTACCAATTAGTGCTATCTTGAATGGCATATTATTACTCATCCCATTATTTTATTATTTTTGTAATTTTACATTTAATATTATTGGTATGTTATCTCTGCTTGTTCTTTTTCCTACAATAACCTAATTACGAAAGTTAAATTTGGATTATCTATGATTGTTCAGTGATTACTGATCATAAAAATTTTCTGCTACGTAAAATGGCTAATAAAATGATACCGTTCAGATACAATAATCAATTAGCGATTCAGTATGCTGAACAAGGCCAATATGACGCTCATCATTATCATATCAATAAGTTTTTGACGTTTGTCCTCTCTACAAACCTTTACAGAACTTATAAGTCGTCTCAAAAGTCAACCATGGTCCAAAATATAAAGGAAAAGCAAATAGACCATAATCGTGCTATGCTCAGCTGTTACCAAAGAACTCCAATAAAATAATTATTCCTAATGCCCGCCGCTACCTCTACAGTTTATGCCGTTGAATTATAGAGGGCGCGATTATCAAAACTCTCACATCGTATTATATGTACTATTGGTTATTTTATTACCATCGATTTTATAATAAGATTCGGCATCGCAGGGATTGCTTGTTATGGTCATGGCATTAGATATACAGGTGAAGAGGATCCGTCTAATTGTTGACACAGTCCATAGATTTAGGGAAAGTTATGCCATCTGCGGCCAGGTGGCAGCACTCTCAATGCCGTTAAATCTAAGACAGCTTGCTTTAAAAAAGAGGCAAATTGTTGTTTAAACTGTTACAATAGATAATAAGAGTATTATATAACAAATAATAATGATAAATGCGTAATTTGTTAGATCTAAGGGAATCGATCACGATGCAATCTAGAGATCCTGACAGTCTACAAACATACGCCAAACATCTCTGCATACGCCTCTGCTGTCTTCGCTAACAAATATCCCACTAAACATTTTTCAGTTTCTGACATGTTCCAGAAACGTTTCCATTTTTCTTGAAACGTTTCATAAAAAATCCATGCAACATTCTGGTAACCCAATAGAAACCGAAGATGTCCTCCCCAAAATACGTTTCCAATGAAACGTTTCAAAAAATTGGTTTCAGTAACATTCTTTTGATGTTCCATTTATGCACTCGATATTTTTACTTTACGTTTCAGTATATTTTCAGAAATGTTTGACTAACATAATAATTTTTATACCATATTGTTCTCATAATGCTCTCAACTGTAGATAATTTCCATTTCAGAAGCGTTTTTGAAACAGTATAAACAATGTGAGTAATTTTTTAAATATTTCTAATACTCTTTTGTAATATTTTTATTTGTATTGTGAATTACTTACTTCGTAATCCAGACAATTTTTTCTGATTTCTCAAAAAATTTAACGGAAAAATGTTATTGTATATTAAAAAAAATAACTGTTCTCCTAGTTTGGGGATGCAGCAACTTTTATCAAGAATTTTTTTTTTCTTTTTGAGAAGCCACTGAAAAAGTTTCTAATATGGATTACGGATTCTGCCATTCATCGTACAAATAAAAATGTCACAAAACAATATCAGAAGCATTTTAAAAAAGCTACACATCATTTTATATTGTTCAAATACGCTTCTGAAATGGAAATTTTCTAATGTTGAGACCATCATGAATATGGTAACAATGACGAAATGATAATTAAAAAAATTAGTTATGATAATGAATCTTGAAATGGTAGGTACATGAAAAACAAATAACATTACTGAAAAATAATATAAAGTTACAATTTCTTCTACGCATAGTCAATATTACATCTAACCTTTTTATAATAAATTTTACAGTAGAAATAAATAAGATACAAAAGGATATCTTGAAAAAATAAATATTTGTAGGTATACTCAAACTCTTTTATTTAAGCATTCCTATACACGTACACAAATATAAACATATGTACAAAATATAAAATAAATGACATATATTTCACTTGGTTCTTCCGTATTTCAAATAGTTCCATGTTCCATTTTTTTTTAGTTTTTGTCCTTTTGTCTTTAATAGGTATTAGGTAGTGGGTATAATAACTATGTTTAGGTAGATGTGACGCAAAATTCGAAATCTCTACACATATCGTTTTAAACATTTTGCATCAATATTCACTATTTTATATGCACCTTACAATAACCACAACTGCACACACTATAAATTATCACATAAAATAGCATCAGAGTAACGATCATGGAGACTATTCTCCCTGGTAACGATGAAGAACAACGAAGCCAGGCAAACGGGTAAAGGCAAACCGCAAACCTAACCTAACACCTAACATAATACGAATTGAAAACGGCACACGAGAAATAAATAAATTCGGGCTGTTACGCGCGGTCTGCGCAAGTCACGAACATACATTTTTTCTAGACTTGTGTTATAAATATGCTACCACAATTTTTTTTCTGTTTATGTCTGGTTGTACATATAACAAACGCAAATGAACTAACGCTTGCTATAATGATGGGGCTTGAGAGTAAAATTTAAGTAATGCCGAATGGAAGTTCCATAAGATAAACAAAAGCAAAGGGTTGTTTGTTTGTCGTTGTTACGTTTCCGAGATCGAAAGGGAATGTTTCGAGTAATGTTTCAAACTCTCTTCAATTGGAATGTTTCGGCTATGTTTCACTAAGTAAGTTTTCAAGTGCTACATTTCTGTAATGAAACAGCAACGTTTCTAGTTATTGTTTCAAATGTGTAGTAAATCAGCTCATTTGCAACGTTTCATTTACGTTTCGTGTTTAGTGGGATCGTTTACCTATAATCAAATAATAATCAAAAACTTCCGCATTTACAAAACAAATTTAGCCCATACCACTGTAGGATATATGGCTATTACCAGTAGCGTCGCCAAGGGAGGGCAGGGCAGAGCAACTGCCCCCCTAGAAATTCGAAAAAAAGTACAAAAATTTTCTTAAATCAAGAAAATATTGGAAATTTTTATTAAAATATTTTATTTAGTTAAACTTTCATCTTGAAAATAATGAATGAATAATGAAAAGTACAAAAATTTTCTTAAATCAAGAAAATATTGGAAATTTTTATTAAAATATTTTATTTAGTTAAACTTTCATTTTGAAAATTAAAACACTATAACACTATATTAAAACAAACAATGGTAGTAAATTAATTTAAATAGTTATTTGTTTGGGAAAAAGTTTTCAAAATATTAAATTTTATGTTAAGAAGTACCTAATATGCTTCCGTATTTTAAAAATGTTGCTCTTGAATTTTAAATAAAAAATAAAAAAATATATAAGTATATCTATCGGAATCAGAATATACAGGGTGTTTCTTAAGTAGAGATCAAAATTAATTATGTTATTATTTTAAGTAACGTAATGAGTATCGTAAAAA